CGAGTCACAGCCAAGGAGAGTAGAAGCTTGTTCTAATCAGTTTCTTTGTCAATGATTCTTCTTCTGTTATTGTTCTTTATATGTTTGTAAATTATGTTATAGCTGAATTAAAATCAACAAATAGATCCAAAAACTACCTCATGTGGCCTTTAGAGTATCATTGATGTGTATTACTAATGTCCAAGTTAAAATTCAGATCATGTCAGCACAGCAATAAAATCCAACCAAGGGAGACCTGATAAACTAGTTATAAGTTCTCTTTGGTTTGACACAACTGAATATTGTTAACATTTTTATTACTCCTAGACATCGAATAGCATTTCTAAAAAAGTAAGTAAGAGTTTGTTTCATCATATTGATTAAGCCTACTCTCATAAGTCATATAATCTACGAAAACATGATAAGAAGAAACTACTAATTTATATTTTGGTCGTTTTCAACTCTGTTATATTACTATTATTATTATGTTTAAAGAAACAGTTTGATAAATTTAGCTTCCAATCTCAGCATACCATATGTTTTTGTTTCTTACTTTTACCTAAAAAGGGTATCTGGGATTTCGTTTTTAAGTGCAGAAAGTATTTCCTACCCTTATACATGTTTTGCAATGAAACAAAAATTTAGAAGTCGGTTTACAGTGGTAGTAGTAAAGTTTACACTCTTCTCTCCTTAGCCTCTTAGATTTCCAGCACTAAACACTCTGAGATTGAAGTGGTCATGTGTTTGAATTTGAAGCTTTATTTTAACCATTTATCGCTATATTTGTTAAACTGACAATTACGAAACCAATCCACTCTTTTCTGGATCCTTTTTTTCTCCTATCAAGATCCACTTGAACTCATATTTCTCTTTATTTTCGCTTTAAGTGTGATCACCCTAAGATTCACAATGTTTCTATCATTGTTATTCTTCAAGCAAATCATTATAATTCTCTCACTTTCCCGTAAACTAGCAATGTCTAAATTCTCCGGTTAGAACCTTTTGTTCACATTTGGCATCTGCACTTTCAAGTTTTGGCATTGTTCAAATATGAAAAAACTTTGGGCTAAAAGAATGTGACTAAAACTTGAATTGGAACCATTTAACTTAAAAATAAGCAAGTAGGTGTAAGGCTATAATAGATTATTCTCCCTATAGTACTGAAAATTTTCCCACTTTATATCACACTCTCATATGTATCCCACACCTTTGAGACTTAAAAATTGAATCTTTTTTAATAATTGGAAACGGAATGAATATTTTTTGTGGTGAACAAGAAAAGAAGAAAATGTTGAAGTAAAGGACGAAAGGCCCAAATACAAAAATACAAGACACCCCACCCACCAAGCTGTGATTACAACAGTAACAAACAAACAAATGAAGAATACATGACCCAACTAACATTGTAAATTGACTAGACCAATAATAAAATATATCCTTCGTTATCAAACGCCTCCTCAAAAGTCTGCATGAAGTCGGGGGCAATAATGCTTAGTCTACTAGATGATGCAATACTTCATCACCAAACAACACATTATTGAATGTTGCAGTGATCACTATCTAAAATAAAAGTTATATTATTCATATAATGTTTTTCTATATCATTTTTCTAGTTTTTTTCTCTGTCTCTTTTAATTATATGATTCATATTGATCATCTTATCTCACTTTTTTTTTCTTTTCTATCCTTCTCTCTTCATTTGTAAAAGAATTGTATAAATATAGTATCTCAAAAATAAAACTTCAAAGAAGGAATTGAGGTTTTTGTTAATCCAACCATGTTCTCACAGAGTAAAAAATAAAATTAAATTAAAAGGATATCCACAAAAGAAACCAAGGTAATGATGCAAGCGAAGGGGGGGGGGTTGCTAAATTGTGATTTGGATATAAGAATTAATTTTGTCCACAAATAAATATGTTAGGAAAATCTACAATTTGATTATGTTTATTTTATAACGTTTATTATAGTTCAAGTAGAAGTTAAAAAAAGGGACAAACCATGGTTTACTGGCGACTACCCGAACATGTTGAGATAAAAAAATATGTAAGAAAAACAATACAGAAAAATGTTATCGATTTTTAGTTGGGCATTGTAAGGGCATTATTAAATTAAATAATTTTTTAAGAAAATAATTTAATGGATATTCGTGAGTTATTTTTTATTTTTGGTCTTTCACAGTCCTGAGTCTTTTTTTTTTCTTTTGGGTCATATGTTGAATATAAAATGTTATATAATGGTATATTTTTTAATATAAAATATTATTTATCTAATTCAATCCTATTTAATATATAAAAATATTTATTATTTTAAATTTTATAATATAAACTTAAATTATTTATAAAAATATTTTAATTTAATAATATTTGAATAAAACGAGGCTCATTGAAAAGTTTTGCTTGCCTTTTTGGAAATATAGTTTGGCTCAAATTTGTTGGAAGATTTTTGATCCGAATGTGGATTCGTCTTGCTATCTGCTTGCTTTAAAACATGAGGAAATTGATCATTTATTGAAAATGACACTCGGCCCATTGGGCTTGCCCAGAAATATTTTGATCCAATTAAGCTGAAAATAAAATCTGGTTATTTGGGTTACACCTCACTTCTTTCGGCTCATTTTAACATTTCTAGCCATTCAAAAATCTTGACCCAAAAAAGTAGAAGAAAGTTTTTTTCATGCAGCTATATTATTTAAATAACTAAAATTTAATATCATATATAATATTGTATGTAATTATTCTAATATGTATATATATATATAATAATAACAATACACCTTATGTAAAAAAATAACTTTTCTTATAATAAAAATACCAATTACAGTTGTTCGGTTTAATTTTCGCTTTTTAGACAGTAAAGTGGTGCAGATGGGTGGTGGCATATAGACAGATGATATGTGCTGGGAACATGAATGTGATGTGGGCACATAGACACAATGTATGTGCATATTGACAAGTGTCTGCCATGCCATGTTTCAATACTAAGAAGCATAATTCAACTCTTTTTTTCTTTGTTTATGCCATAACATACCCAGCTGGCATGGAATCATATCCAGCCTACCAAGTCCTTATCTATATAAAAATTCATAATAATAATAATAATTTAAAAAAAAAAACTATATGCTCCTTTCTCACTTCCAATTTCATGGAGCCCATTACCCATGTGGGACACTTCCACCTTCAATCATTGAATTTAATTTATATCCCCCTCTTCCTTCACTTCTTAACTAGTCAATCACTTTCTTCATGTGTTCTGCTTATTAATTGTTCTTTTTTCAGTTCAAATATTTTTATTAAATCTTTATTTATTTTCATTTTTCAACTTTCATATCAAATATAATCAAATGCTAAAAATATATGTTAAGCCTGATGAAATAATATTTTAATCATTTGTTCATTAAAAAACAATTTTATTAATTCATATAATCTGAGAATTTGTATTTATACAATTTAATATTTACAGTATGTGGTTTAATAATAATTTAGTATTTATTTACATTTTAAATATCACATGACCCATTAAAATAAGGTAAAATGATTGAGTATTAATTGTTTTTTTGAACTATATAAGATTTTGTAAACTTAATTTATTTGGATGAAAAATTTAAATGTAAACTTTCTAAGTTGATCACCTCAAAGTATGTGTGTCGGTGGCATATTACAGAGTTGTTGATCATGCATGAGATAATCGTTAATATATAAAATAACATCAGTTCTCTCTTATTTTGGTTTTTCGTTTCCATTTGAAAACATATTACAGTGATATATTTGTCAAATATGTAGAAAAAGATGATAGCACGAAGATTTGTAATAACATTTTCAAGCATATAAGCACCTTTCTTTAGACACCAACGATTTTCCTTCAGTTTAAAAGACTACATTAAAGGATAAGAAACATAATAATAGGTTGAAACGCAAAGGGCTTCATCTGAGTTTGTCCAATCTTTAATTACTTTTAAAAGTTTTAAATTTAATTTACAAAATTATAGTGATATACATACAAGAGTATCATTCATTGAAAATGATATTTATTCAAATATTTTCTACACAAAATGCCCCCAAAAAAACCATGCAGTTGCAAGTGGAACAAGGAAAAATGGAAAGGACAATATTTATAATATAAATTGTAAAATTTGTAGCATGAAAATCATTGTTACAAAATATTAATATATAATTCTAATTAAGAGTTATCGACAGTATGATTTTATAATAATCACTTTAAAATCATACTTCCAATAATTTTTAATTAGTCAATACTATAATATTTATACACAAATAATAGATTAAAAATGTTATTATTGAATGCATTTTTTTATAATTAATTTCAAATAGAGTTTAAGTAATTTTAATTTGAAACAAAATTCTTGTAACAAGAACCAATGCAATATTATGAATAATTTCCTCTAAATAATATATGTATTTAAAAATGAATATAATTTTTTTAAAATATAATATTAATACTTTTGACAGAGTATTATTTTTTATATTAGCAATTGTTATAATTTCAACTTTGAAAATAAATCAAAACTGTTGATATCAATTAAAGAAATTAGTAAACCTTATAAATATAAATAAACATTAAAATACCTTATTCATGCATTGTTAACTCTTTTCGAAACTGGATTCCTGCTCATACATAAAATGTGAATTGTAATTTTTAAACAAAAATATTTTAAAAATTATATTAACTAAATATAAATTTTTTATATTCCCCGATTTTTTTTTACTTTTATTTTTTATTTCAAATTTATAAATTTATTTTTAATTTAAAATTACTATCTCTTTAACTTACTTCAAAATAATCCATTATTTAAATAAAAATATTTATTCTTTTCAAAATTCATTAATTTTAAAAATAGTCAAACAATATATTTTAAAATTCAATTTTATTTTAATTAATAATATTAATTAATTACAAAAAAAAAATTCCTAGTATTTAATAAATTGAGTAACACAATCTCTGTTTTCCCTTTTAAACAATATTGTGTGACCAAAAGAACAAAAATATTGCCCCACAGTCTCACAGAACACTTCGTCACTTTATGTATATATCCTACACACACAGTCACACTTTTCCGCGTTGAACAAAGTCTCTTCTCTTTCATCTCATTCTCCATCGTCACCGTTCTCTCTCTCTCTCTCTCTCTCTCTCTCTTCAATGGCAGAATCTTCACCGAAACCAGTTCCTCTGTTGAAGGATGAGCTTGACATCGTCATCCCCACCATCCGCAACCTCGATTTCTTGGAGATGTGGAGACCCTTCTTCCAACCTTATCATCTCATAATCGTTCAAGATGGTGACCCTACAAAGACCATCAAGGTACCCGAAGGATTCGACTACGAACTCTTCAATCGCAACGATATCAACCGGATCTTAGGTCCCAAGGCCAATTGCATCTCCTTCAAGGACTCTGCGTGTCGTTGCTTTGGTTACATGGTCTCTAAGAAGAAGTACATCTACACCATCGATGATGATTGCTTCGTATGTTACTGTCCTTCCCTACCCTTCACTCCCTTTCACTTTTATTCTCACCTTTTCTTCGCAAAGTTTCCGTTTTTCAATTAAAGTCGCTTGCTTTCGTTTGTTTTCGTTAATGGGTCGTGGAATTCGCCTATCTAACTTATGAAACTTTTTTTTTTGAAGGGGTTTTCGAAATGGGACTAGATCTGGGTTGTTGTGTGGGTGATTGGGGTGTTTTCGAGCTTGAGATGGCTTGATTTCTCTCGTTGTCTTTTAAGATTGGATTGGAATGAGTGGTTATGTGAACTGATTTGTGAATGGGATTGATTGTTGGGGAGTTTTAAAATGAGAATTGATTTGACTTGGAAAGGCTTTGGGAAACTTGAATTGGTGTGGATTGGATTTGATTTGATTCGATTTTCGTTTCAATTGTTTGAATTAATGACTTTATTTTTTTATTTTATCGTATCATATTTTAAGTTTTTATTAAGGGTAAGAAAGTAAAAATTATTAAAATAATATGAATTCCGCGTGAAAGGTCTTCCAAACTTAAATTTGGAATTTTTACTTTGGGTTTGTAACGTGAGAAGTGACTTTTAATCGAATCGAATCAAATAAAAATTATCATTTTCAATGATTTCAAACACTACTAGATCAGTAGATCTAGAGACTTTTAACGCGCATTTGATTGCAGATTCAGTATGAGGCAAATAATGTGAACAAATGTTGTTGAAATCTCTTTATTTTGAAAGCTATTAAAACCTCTATTGGCCACCTTTTTCTGCTTTCATGGACACAATGATTGCCGTCAAATTGAAAGTGGATTTCTTGTTTTTTTGTCTCTGATTCCTTTTTTATGAATCTGTATTCCAACTAAGGATTGAAATATTGATTCTGGCTTGATTATTGCTGTCAGTAGATTCGTTGTTTTCTATGTCTATGATACTAAATAACAAAAACCTGTTGATTCGTCTGACACAATTTGAGACAATGTACTGTGTTTAACACACAATGTAGACATGATTTTCTCAACATTTCCTATTTTCTTGTGCAGGTTGCTAAAGACCCATCTGGCAAGGATATCAATGCACTTGAGCAGCACATTAAGAATCTCCTATGTCCAGCCACTCCATTTTTCTTCAATACCCTTTATGATCCTTACAGGGAAGGTGCTGATTTCGTTCGTGGATACCCTTTTAGTCTTCGTGAGGGTGCCCCCACTGCTGTTTCTCACGGCCTTTGGCTCAACATACCTGATTATGATGCTCCAACACAGCTTGTCAAACCCCGTGAGAGGAACACCAGGTATGTTATCGTGTAGCTCCTTCATTGTAGCCTATAATTACTATGTACTTTCATAGATGTTCATGGTCTTTTTGTTTGCTAAATTACTGAGCACAATTTTCAGGTATGTTGATGCTGTTTTGACCATTCCCAAAGGAACATTGTTCCCCATGTGTGGTATGAATCTGGCCTTTGACCGTGAGCTGATTGGACCTGCAATGTACTTTGGACTCATGGGTGAGGGTCAGCCTATCGGACGATACGACGATATGTGGGCCGGTTGGTGTGTGAAGGTATGTTAATCTATCATATTCTTATGACCCTTTTCTGTTAACAACCCCTTAAATCAACATGTTTGCAAACACTTAAATTTTGCGAAATAGTTGCCTATTTTTTCGACAGCACTTTCAAATTTGGCACAAAATAAGCTGAATCTAACACACACTCGAACTAGATGTATTACTAGTTAAATGATTACTTAGGTGTTATTTGATTCAGTTGTTGTTTTTACTTTCAATTGATTTGCTTTCACTAATAATTATAAAAACTTTACATTTAACCTATAATTATACAAATGTCACATTGATTTTAACTTCACACTATTTTCAAGATTTTGTCAAGGAAATGATTTCTAGGTAGATGATGATAATCTACCTTGCTAGTTACAATTTTTTGTTTTACTTGTACTAAAATAGGTACTTCACCTCTTGTATGAATTTGCAGGTTATCTGTGACCATTTGGGCTTAGGGGTGAAGACCGGTCTTCCATACATATGGCACAGCAAAGCAAGCAACCCATTTGTCAATCTGAAGAAGGAGTACAAAGGCATCTTCTGGCAAGAAGAAATCATTCCATTTTTCCAAAGTGTCACCCTTCCAAAAGAGAGCACTTCTGTTCAAAAATGCTACCTTGAACTCTCCAAGCAAGTCAAAGAGAAGCTTGGGGCTGTTGACCCCTACTTCATCAAACTAGCAGATGCTATGGTCACTTGGATTGAAGCTTGGGATGAGCTTAACAACACATCTCAAGCAAATTCTTCAAAGCAAGCTAATGGTGATGCCAAGTGAACTTCTTGTAGTTCAGGAGTTTAGTTTTGAAATGGAGTTAGTTCCTTTCTTGTCAGTTTAAATTTATCGTCTTGGTCATCGTATTAGTTATCATTATTTTTATTTATATTGCAAGATTACAGAACAATTTATTGATATTGATGTCATGATTATTACTATTTATATTATTCTTATTATAGATATGATCCTTATTGTATTTCAGTATAGATTTTTCTCCCATTATGGGTGGAGCCTTAGACATTTGATCCAGCTTAGTGGATGTGAGCTTTTTTAATTTTGTGCTGAGTCCTCAAGAATAGGGATTTTGTAGTGATGATTGCTATTTTAATTTTTAGATGACGTCTAGCTTTGTTAGTCCTGTTTAAATTCTGGGTTGGTATTATGGTTCGTCTATTTTTTTCAAGAAAATGCATAAAACACAAATCTCAACTTAATGTGTCTGAGTGAGTTTATTTAAAGGTGAGTTTGAAATGATGTAACTTATATTTAAAAGTTTTTATATTAGAAATAAGTTTATATTAAAATTTAGTATGATATTTTTAATTTAATGTATAATTTATCATTGGCTTGAATGAGAATTTAAAAGATAAATCAATTATGTTCTAGATTTGTTCATCATCAATTTTATTTTATTTTTATAAAATCACACTACATAATTTAAAAGTAATTAATGTTTGGGTAGTTAAAAACGTTATATATATATATAAAATAAAAAAAAACTGGTTTGTGAAGTTCAGTATTCATTAATATTCCTTCTTATTATATCCATCTAATTTCTTATATGGTTTTTCATACTTACTTATTATGCTTTAGTTTCGACAAATTTTAGATCCATCTTTTCTCTCTTTAGTTTTGAGTCTTGGATATTTAAACCTGCAAATTAACCTAACTAATTTATGAGTTGGGGTAGTAAAACGTTAACTTGTTTAAAATATTAGATTTTTTTTTTTAATTTGTGAATATGTTTTCAAATTTTTTTTTTATAAAAAAATTATACAAATTTATTTTATTTTTATTTTCAAGATTTACACATATAAAAATTTTGATATAATTATTTAATAATAAAGTGATATTTTATAATTATTGATAGAAACAAAAAACTAATTTTTTCTTTGTAACATGGTATGATTGACCAGAAAAGTTAAACGAAGATGATATGATTCATTTCATGTTGTGTTGAGTGGGATCCACACTTGCTCCTCTATTGTTTCCTGGTCAACTTTTTGTGATATTTGTGAACGTTTGTGAATGATTCAAATTCAAAATTAATTTAAATTTAAATAAAAATTGAGACGTTAATATGGTGGTGTCGGTGTGGCATTGCCTCCATTTTTGTTTGCCCTCTCTATATTTGAAATTTGCATTCTGTGAACGCTTTGAATTCAAAACTAATGAATGGGAAAGAAACGTAATGAGGAAAAGAGTTACTTGCAATGAAGACAATGGGTTTGTAATTATTTGCATTTGGAATTACTTACACTTTCCCTTTTTCACCATTCAACGTCTATATATCATAAAAATGAAAATAAAATTCAACCATGTTCAGCATCTTAATGGAAATATTTGTTTTTTTTAATATTAGTAACACTTCTTTTTAATTTATCCTTTATTATTAATTAAAATTTATTAAAAATAATATAAATGCTTTTCTTTCTTATTCTTAATATTTATATTTCATATTTTTTAGTATATAATAATTTTTAAATAATAATAAAAAATGTGTCACATAGTGTATTGCTAGACCTTTTTTTTAGTTTTTGTCTAACTTATTAGAAGAAGGTTTCACTTTAATATCCCTTCCAGCTATATTTTTCATTTAGTATTTTTTCTTTGGATTAATGTTAAATTTATCACAATATTTTTATAATTTGTTTTGTCTTTATTTGCATAACAATAATTATCTTATCTCATATTTTTATTATTTTACGTTATAAAAATTATTGTAAAAAAATTATACATGAGTAACTGTTTTTTTTTCTTTTCTAATTAAATATTAAAATGAAATAGGTAAATGTTGAAAAAAGTTAAGAGTGTAAGACTTACCATATAATTAAAGATGTTAAAGCATGTCGATTTACCATACTAAAAGTTTACTATAAAATGAACTAGTCCACTTTATCTATTTTTGAAAGTGAACTAGATTTTATGTGCTATTTGAGAGTGGGTGGCAAACTAACATTCTAAAAACAAAAAAATAATAAGTTAGCTGACTTAAAATTAACATAAAAATATAAAAATTTATAAAAAAAAAAATATTGTTGACAAAAAATATTTAATTCATAAATAATTATTTTATTTTTAAAATTAAAAAAGTGTAATAGACCAGCAATGAAAAAGGCCAATGAAACTTGTATTTTTAGCCGGTTAGACAATACAGTTAATTGAACTCAACCTAATTTGACATTTCTGAATATAACAAAACATTTAGTCAATATAAAATATTTGATAAAAAACAATAAATGTAGAATTATTAAAATAAGTTACACAATTCAGTTTGGATCATTGAATCGCTGGAATTAAAAAAAAAAAAAATCTAAAATTGATTTGACCTTAAAACTTAACATTTAAGCTTATATTTTAGCAAGTTTAATTAGGTTAATTTGTTGAAACTGATTCATTTTATTTACTCTATTTAAATTTCACTGTAATGACGATGTGTATTAGAAATATATAATTGAATATAATTAGACTTTGTGATAACCAAAAATATTAAAAGCGCCGTTGCCGGGGATCGAACCCGGGTCACCCGCGTGACAGGCGGGAATACTCACCACTATACTACAACGACTTGCTTGCTGATGTTTTATAATAAATTTTAGAAATGTGTAACTTTGAATCTATAACCTCATTAATTAAAGTAATATAATTTATCATATTAATAACTTATTTATTCCTAAACACTCATGTGCACTAAACTGTGTTTGCAATATTATAATCTGCCAGATTTATTGTAATCTAAACCTACCTGTTGGTTTGCTTTTTTTAATTATCAAAACCATTAAACCAAACAACAAAAATCATTAAATACGATATAAGACTGCCAAATTATTATTATTATTATTATTATTTGATCCCTTAACGAACGTCAAATGTTATCAAATTATAACAATGGAATATTATTATATTAAAATGGGTCAAGGCCTACGAATTATTTCAAATAAAACAAAATATAGAATGAGATAATAAAATTGAAACTACATGGTTTCACGTGAATTGACCTATAGCGAATTAGCGTTTTTTATTTTAAAGTAAAATAAAATTAATTTTGAGCTATTAAGTATAATTAAAATGTGTATATAAATCATATTTTTTTAATTAAAAAGTATAATAATTAATTTTGTAAATTCTTAATTCATTAGTGACTTGCGTCTTTACCCAATATTACAATTTTTGACCCTTATAAATTTAAAGTGACAATTGAGTTAGTATAGGATAAAAAATTACACTTTAGTTTTTCTTTTATCAAATTTGTCCTTTATTTCTTTTTTAGTTGCAACTTTTTCTTTGTCAAAATGAATAGATTCTTAACGAAAGCCTCCTACATGGAATATACGTAACATTAACGCAGTTGTTCGATAGCAATTCTCTATTACTACCATGGCTCAAGTGCCAAAATAAAATATTTTTTTTTGTTTAGCCGAACTCATAAAAGATGTTTTTTTATTAGAAAAATGTTAATTACTTTAAAGGTAATAGATATATTCTGCATACAGAGTGCAATATTTAGTGTAACTAATGCACTTTAACAGTAATTTTTAGTTAACTTTTCTATTTTTCTTAGTCGATATACTTCTGTCTATAAAACATTCATTAACAACATAAAAGGGTGGTCATAATGCGGTTTTCATTAGTTTATTTTACGTCCTTATCTAATTAATTTGCTAAATACCACTGTAAAAAAAAATACTAATTTAGAAAGTTAATAATTACCTACTCCTGTGTATTTGTTTCAGAGTAATTTAATATTTATTTCACCTTAGAAAATATAAATATTCGCTCCTATTCAATAAAATAGAAGAATCAATTTTGAAAAGAAAATGATAAATTATGATATGCACTTATATATATATATAATTAAATAAATGAATGATTTAACAAACTTCTATCAACCATATTGATGATTTTTCTCTATTTTTCAACACATTATCTATTTTAATTATCTCATACTTTTCTCTCTTTTCTTTTTTCTTCTTTTTGTTTTAAGATTATGAAATGAAAAATAGAATATTATCAATATTTTAAAATATTCAAATATATGATTAAGTACCCCATATAGGAAAAAGTATAACACCCGAAGGAAGTGCCAATACTTTACATTAGATTGATTGATTAGAGGGATGAGCAGTAAGTGGCTGCAATTAGAACACGTCTCAATACTGCAAACCAAAATAATAACCAACCTTATAGAATTTTTGTACAATCATATTTTTCTAAGAACCAAAACAAAAGAGATGGGTTTAATATCCTCCTTAGCCATTTCTTCATCTACCAATTTTGCATAATTTTTAAACAAATTGTCCAAGACCCTTTCTCCAAAGTGGTGAGTGATCATTGATTCTTGAATGGCCCTAACCGCCACTGCAACTTGTGTACCATAGCTCTCACTACCTTGCTCATACATGTCCATCATCTCAAACATCTCTAACTTCTCCAACTTTAAGGACCCTTCTTTCCTCACCTCATCTTCTATTTCTTCCCATGAGGGTGCATAGAAATGCACGTCATAAGAATCAAGCTTCTCCTGTTCTAATTCTCCCTTCAACACAAATTAAAGTCAAAAGTTACGTAGTAGTAGAAGAAGAAAGTTAAAAGAAGGAGACAAAATAATTCATCGTTATCCAAATACTTTTCACGAGTACCTATGTTGGCTACCTGCCAAATGTTTATTCATACTTTGGAAGAATTTCAAGTGAAAGACGTACAAAGAAAGAAAGACCAGGCATATTTATGTTTTGATTCTCATGTATAAACATTCAAACTAAGTTAATATTTATTTAACATCTTTTAACTTTCTCTATTTTTTCATTTCATTATATTGCTTATCATATTTATTATTTTTCTTTATCTTTAGCCATATAACTTAAAGGTGAACCATGTTTATAACGTATGGTTAATCATAATTTTACCTTTCAACTCATACATTTTCTTATTGGTTGAGTTATTATGTATATTTCAATCTCTAAAACTTACTATCAAGTTGTGTTGTTTTGGTTTTTAAGAGCCAATTTAGACACAATTGCTTAAATTTAAAGAACTGTATTTTAGTCAAT